CACTATTGAAGTTGAGACATTGTCATGGAATTCTTAAACACTAACTGATAAGAGAGAGCAAAGGCTGCCTAACCATTAGGTACACAGAAGATATGGGTCCTGTGGTTACTGTTCAATTACTTGTCAATGCATTTTATCCAATAACTTATATATATTATGCAACAGCAGGAGCCATAACAGTATACCATGGGAAGGTATATAAAGGATGGGATAGATAGGTATCAGTAATATTACTAGGAAGTTTTATCATGTAAGCGATCATGGAACATAAAATCACCACTTTTTTTTCTCTTTTTTTCTCTCTTTTTGGTGAGACGCACACATATAGCACAGGCAAGAACTACATAATGAAGCAACCCAAATACCTGTCTTAATATCAGCAAACTTAGGAAAAAGAAACTTTGTCAAAATGAGTCATCTTGGCAGATCAGTTTAAAAGGAGCTCTAAAACATTGCAGGGCTCTCTTGTAAGGATAGATATATTTTTCCAATAAATCTATTTCACTTATAACAGAGGCAATTTAACTGCATTTATGGGATCATGTTTTAAGAGCGTCCTGCGGGTAGTAAATAGGGCTAGTATAGAAGAAGCCAAGATGTTTTAATACTGCTACTGAAACACGTTTATAACACAGTTCAGCACAGTTACTGTGGAACATATTTTGTGGAATATATCTAGTTGTAAAATCTCTGGAGCTGACCCCTGAACAGCAGGTTTCTTGAGATGGTCACAGTAACAATGACCAGTTTTGGTTCTGCTCACGGTCAGCATACCACTCTATATTTTAGCTTTACATTTTACATACACGATCAAACCATCTTAGCTGTGAATCAAGTGGTAGTATCTCACTCTCAAGCATACAACTGTGGCAGCTGAAACACATTAAAGACTTTACTGTATGTATTTATTACTTATCCTCCCTAATCACATTGTCAATGTTCTTTGAAAACCACACCTGGAAACATAGAATAAATTTAGGCTCTACAGACTTCAAAAAATAACTGATCTTTCTTAGATACTTCTCTTCTTTTTGCTTATTTTCTTTAACCTACGTGCATATTCTGTAACGCAAAATAATGAGGAAGTAAAACTGCATTATGTCAGCTCGACAGTGTTCTCCACAGTGATGCTTTGTTGAAATGTCTGTTCTGTTGAAGAAGGGAGATTGGCGAGTGACTTAAGATTAATGCCAAGACAAGACAGGACTTGCAATTGTATGACTTAAGTAATGATCTGGAAGTGGAGACCCAGATCTAGAAAACCACTTAAGAATGTGTTTTACTTTATTCATGTGCTTAGGTGTTTTGTTGAAGTATGAACTAAGCTCTACAGCTAGAGACTTCAGACAGACATTTCTGTGCAGCTGTGCCAATTTTTTTTAGAACTATTACAATTTTAAACACAGCTCAGCTGAGACCAAGCATGGAAAGTTTAAATACCCCATGAAAGCTTTTTTCCCAGAACACTGAGTAAAAGATGACTCAGATTATAATGCCACACTCTACCTCACCTTGCAGAGTTAGTTTTTGTTAATGGTAGTACACAACTGTAACTGATACAAGTTTTGTTACTGACTGCTGTAGCCACGGGGTAGCTGCATACATAGAAATGCAAAATGTGTATAGACACAGAGCTATTACACTGTTGATAGTGACTATTCCAAATACACACACGTTTTTTACCTTGTGGCTGAGGATTTCTCCATAGGAACCCCCTCATCTGGTTATGATATGGAGGAACAAAAGAACTTCTGTGTGTTTGTTGGAACCTGGGATTAAATTCTCTTTGTTGTGTTCCTGAAAAACAGTATTTACTAAGCAACTCTGTATATAAGATTAAATTAAGAAAAAGAGAGACAGCATATTCTTTTTTGGGAAACAACATTTCTTAGTTTTATGCCAAAATACTTAGGCACAATTACAATTTTTCCAAACTAAAGTCAGCCTAATAAGCATGGTTCTTGTCCTCATTTCCATCTATGCACATCATGATTACAAGCTGTTAACAAGTGTATTTAGAAACCAGAACAAAATTTTATGACACAGATTTGGAGACTGCAGTCATTAAAACAAAACAGAAATCTCTGTCCAAATTGGAATCACAAATCATAATTAAAATGCTTAAGTACAGCTCTCAAGCAATAACAGATGCTAAAAAGGTCTGGTATCATAAATCACGAACAGATACCCTTAGTCTGAATGTCCAGCACCAGTATGGCATAGTACCATACTGGTGTCACATAATGCAGAGTACTGAACTAGCAGAAAATCATTGGCTGTTATAATTTGCTCAAGGAATTTTGAAGGGGTAGTTTTTATCCTCACAGACATTATAATTGATCAGCTATTAAGCAGGTAATAAAAGCATAATGCCAGCACAAACACTGAGATTCAGCGTGAACTATTTTGAAGCCTCAAAAGCCTCAACATTCAGGCTGATCTGTGAATGATGCTAAAAACCTTTTAGATGTTTTTTTTCCCTGAAAGTCAAGCAGATCAGGTGGGGAAAACAAATGTCTTTAGTAAACTGAGCCATAAAACTGGGGAAAAGTCAAAGCAAGGTTTTAGGCAAAAAAAGAGCTGTTCTCCAGATTGCCCAAAAGCTTTCTTATATTTGAACTATATCAGTCAGTCCAACAAGGAGTATTCTCTCTTCAATACTTTCAACTATCAACGTTAAAATAGCTCCCCTGAGGGAAAGGAAGAAAAAACTCTGAGTCATCTAATTCCTCCTATAAAAACAACTTTAGTGACTGAGTAAATAGCAGTAATGTTTCTGTCAGTGAATATTGTATTTACCGCATATATCTCACTAACTATGTAGCTAGATGGAAATATTATTCTGTCCAAACTTGGGTAATCAAATTAACATCAATTCCCAAAACCAGGATAAGTTTTCTTAGATCTCACCTTCAGTTTCTTGGAGAAAGACCTTATAATTTACTTAGCTTGGTGGGCTGCCTATGTAAATGCTGCTGCTGTTGAAGGATAACTGAGCTTATCCATATATTGACTTTAATCGAGAAAATTAACACAACACCAACCTGTGATAAATCCATTCCCTCTTGGTCTGCTCTGTATTGTTCTTTTCTTTGCCATGCAAGCCTTGCAAATGAAAGACTTCAGATTCTGGAAGGGTGTATACAAAGACTCCTGCAGACAATAGGGTTAAAAATCAACGACTGTTCTGCTTTTCTCTCTTCAGGTGCAGCACAAACCAATCACATGTACCACAACTAAAACACTTCTCTTTGCCACATGCATGCATATATGAAGGTGATATATCTGGCTCGCATTTTTTCAGGAAACAAAGTTCAAACATTTCATATTAGAAGTGGATCCTTGGAGGGGTGAGTACGGGTACAGAAGGAATGTTTTCCCCTTTCTCTGTGAAGTTTGTTTTTCTTTGTTCACATCTGTAAATCACTTGCTTTCTGATTCTATTACCTTGCACCTGTAGATATACTTAACTAGACTTCTATCAGCAATACCTCAGGCAGGGATGGTTAAAGCCTCCAGATAAGGACTGATGAACTCATGGAAAACACACCAGTGAAAATCGAAGTATCTTAATCTCATATATTAGAAACAAAACTTAACACAATAGTAATACATCAGCCTCAATTCCTCACTGATAAAATATAACCGAGTCTAAAGAGAAATGCTAGAATTAAAGAAAAATGTTTACCTTGTGGAGTGATGAAAAGTTCTTATGTCGAAAGGACAAGCTGAAGCTATTTAAAGATGCAATACTAATGTGATATACCCTTAACTTTCACTGATTTTGGTGACCTTTGAAGAAGTGTCAGAATCTTTTTCTTTTTTATTGATTTGTACTGAGCACGTGGGCAGTAGTACACATTGAAAATAATTATCAAAAGACAGATTTTAGAGCAATGGCATAATTTGTGATTTTCATAAAACTGAACTGATTTTCACAGGATGACAATTCCTTTTTCACCAAGGCGGGGAGGAGAGCATTACAGGATAAGGTAAAAATCCAATAGGTGGCAAGACTGCAGCAACTAGAAAGGTAGAATCTGAATCCCTGAACCCTCCCACGAACTTTCCTAGCATATTTTCTGAGTTAACAAACCTCTTTATAGGTTTTTCTTCTTCCACGCAAACTGAGTACAGTCTGTGAAGAACACCCACTAATGGGAAAAACCTTTGATTGTATTCTTGAGAGAATACATTCAGAATGTGCTTATGAAAGCTGGATGAAAGGCATAGTCAGAAAAGGACAAAACATATTACTTATGCCAACCCCATTAAGTAATTTGGTTTTAATTTAAAAAAATTGATCATGAACTTACTCATTAGTAAGAAGCACAATAAAAAGGCTAATAAAGTGATAATATCATTGACTCACTGCTTTATGAGACTATTATAGCCAATTTTCTGTGTGGATAAACAAACTAATATGATTACTGTTATGAAAAAGACAGAACTAGCATAATATGATCTTAGCATATCTTTTTAAAAAGCAAGATGGCTCTATTTTTTATTCTTATCAGAAGCTTTCCATTTTTTTTATCTTTAACAGCTGCTAGGCTACAAAGGGCTGAGCTACACAAAAACTTGCCCACAAATATATCAACTGCATTTAATTTCTATATTTTCTTCTTTTGGTACAAGAATCTGTGGGAAGCAAACCCTAAAATGTTAAAAAATTCTGGTATACATGTAAATATTTAACCAAGATTGTATTTCTACTGTAATTTTCATAGAGCTATTAACTGTATTTAAGCCCATCATAATCAAATCAACACTGATTCTGGGATCTCCTGAACTCCCTGAAGTAATGTAACTGTCCAGATCATAGAGAAGGGGAGTTAGGAGACAAACACTGAACACCAAAAGGAGTAACTTTCCCCTATTACTTATCTTTTCTATAACAAAACATCCCATGTAAAATAACTTTTTTCTGAATACAATGCTGTTTCTATCATCAGATTAGATTTATGGTGCTCAAGGGTAGATTGTTAACAAACAAGTGCTGAAAGATCTTGGCTTCCAGCGGTACATTAAGCTCTGCCAGGAACTAAGTATCATTTATTAAAGTTGAACTTATAATAATAGGAAAAAACAATCACATATGCTTGTTGCCCTGCCAGTGTCCCCAGCTAAACTGGCATCTCTTGGCAATTCTCCCAAAACTAGTTTCTTGCTTCAAACTCAAGCTGGAAAGCTATTTTATTAGGCTGGGAGCTATCTCTGCCATATATGTACCATAAAATTGTACCTAGAAATGAAAAAGATATTTAAACTACTTTAAAGGGCTAGAATATTTTTCCCCTCAATTGAACAGTTTATCTGGGGTTTGTTTAAACTAGAGTATCAGGCTTTCAAAAACCCTAACCTAGATATTTTAGTTGATCAAGCAAATTTCCAACTCTGTTCTGGGGATCTATGCATCTTCCTTCATCCTCCTTCTAAGACAGCTTAAAATATAACTTTAACCTGACCACATCAAGATTTTTAAATGTTAGCTAAAACATACTACCTAACACATTTTAAAATACCTCTCGGCCAATATAAATTTTGTACTGATTTAGATACACATTGTAAAAGTTGCTCACTAACCTGAATTCTACCCAAATGGAAAAGAAGTATCAATTTCACATAGATCTGTACAGTTTTACACTTTCCCATTTATTCTTTAGACCCTCTATTGTTCTGCAGAAGTCCTACATGAAAAACTGGATGAATCACTGTCCCAATCCAAAATCTACTGAAATCAATGGACCAATTAATGGGAACCACAGGATTTGGATAGAGGCTATAGTCCTAATCATATGATTGATTCCATATGGAAAGGATTATCCGTCCCCTCCGTGCTGAAAAGATATACATTCCACCCACCCACACACGTGTTCCACTCACCACTCCAGATCAGGATAGTACGTAATTGGACAAAAAATTAGAAAAGAAAACTAATTATACAACTGGTATTGAATACATGAGATTAAAATAATTCAAACCCGAAAACTTTGTAATTACTTTTATTTATTTTAACCTCAAGTGATATATGTAACAGCAGATAAAAACATTTCAAAGGTAAAATTTTCAAAGGCAATTAAATGATATAGAATATTCAGTTCCACACTAAAAAGAGACACAATAACTGAAAGTCTTAAAAGCTATCTACACAGCTGAGTACAGATCTACCCAAGCATCTCCACATATTCTGTGCTGCTGGGGCATGAGCCAGGCCTAGTCTGAGCTTTCAGTAGTGCATTAATACAGCCTTGCACCCAGTTTAGCAGATCCTACCTCTGAGCCTGGACATGACACCACACTAATACACCAGATATGGCCCATACCCAGCAAAACTCTGCTGGTATCTCCCTGCCCTTGCCTGGGCAGGAATGTTTTAAGTCATACGGTTTTTTTGGTAACACAGCACACAAATTGTACAAATCCCCAGTTTCTGAGAAGTGGGACTGAGAACTAAATAAATACTATGAGGTACAGGAAGGTACTTGGTGAGATTCTAAAAAATACTTAGATATATACCTTCCTCTGATTTCCAGTTCCTCTTTGAATTCACCAAACCTTCATCTCAAACTTTAGGTTCCTCAATACCTTTAAAAATATCACTGTGATGGTTTGACCTTGGCTGGATGCCAGGTGACACCAAGCTGCTCTATCACTCCCCTCTTCAGTAGGACAAGCAGGGAGAAAATGAGATGGGAAAGAAAAAGACCCCTTGTGGATCAAGATAAAGGCAGCTTAATTAGCTATTTCCCAGGAAGCAGGGCTTCAGTATACATAGCTGTTGCTCCGGAAGACAAAACATCGTAAAAAACAAATGCCCTCGCTTCCTCCTCCTTTCCCTTAGCTTTTATATCTGAGCCAACGTCATATGGTATGGAATATCCCTTTGGTTGGTTTGGTTCAGGTGTCTTGGCTATGTCCCCTCCCAGCCCACTGGTGGTGGCGGGGGAATGTTGGAGACACAGCCTTGATGCTGTGCATACACTGCTCAGCAGAAGTCAAAACATTTCTACGTACCAATAGAAAGCACAGCACTATGAGGGCTGCTATGAGGAAAATCAACTCCATCTCAGCCCGACCCAATACAATCATTCTTAAACACTTTAAAAATTATACCCAGTATGCTTATTTAAAGACATTCTTAATATGTTGCCTAAAATCTTACAGGAAAAAGATCTCATTAATATTTTAGTACTAGAAAGGCATTACAGGCATTTTCATTTTTTGAAACTGACAACCATTTTGACACTTCCTTATATTACTTTCTGACCAATGGAAACGAAAGAAAGGTAAAATTAGAGATTCTTTCATAGTCTTGGTATTTCTGCTTTCTTAGGCTTTTTTTGCAGAGAGGATGAAAAATGAATAAGAGAGGAAAAATATAAAGAAAGGGGACCCGTGTAAACATGAACATTAAAACAACAAACAAACATGGACAGGTACATTTTTCAAAGAATACAGAACTGTCTAAGAGGATACAATTACTCACATTGCCTTCCAAAAGCTCTTCCAAAGAGCAACCTCGGTGTGACTGCTGGTATTTTTCTTGAAAAAGTTTTCCATCAAACACTTCCCAAGGCATCAAATCATCCATCCTGAACGGAAAGCCACAGGCACTATTGGCCATGAGCAAAGTTGTAAGACCACGAACAAAGACAGCGCCAAGATGTACACCTCTGGAGTCCACTTGTGCAATCTGTTAACACACACGTACACAAAAAAAAAAAGGCAGGCCTCACAGATCAGTAAATATAAAGCAATCTTACCATGCAAACTATGCAAACAGCAGAGCAAATGATAAACAGTCGTAAAGTTGTGACAAAGATGGTCCTCTACTGGACAGCAGAATTTTGACAAAAGATTCTGTATCTAGTTTTGTTCCATAAGGTAAAAGAAGTGAAGTTTATTTTAATAAATACAGCATCTCACTCGAGTTTTAAGACAGATACATTCAAAATGAAAACAAAGACAAAATAAATGGCTATTCTCCATAGTATTTCTCAAGCATTAGCAGTTCCCTAGAAAGAACTCTGTTAGTGGAATGCAAAACATGAACTGGGAGTATAAAATGATGTGTACAGTGATCCACTGACCTTCCACAGTTTGATCAACTGGGAAATGTTACAGCACTTAGAGATCATTTAAATGATAAGATTTGACAGAACAAAGTTCATTGTGCCCAGGCTTTTATTTTAAACACTCTGAAATTTCCTCTGACTGTAGTCTGAAAGTCCAATTATTTCACACCAACATGGATGTCTCCAGAAGAAATACTGGAATGGTATGACAACATACAGAAAATGCAAAACGAGAAACTCAACAAGACAATTAAAACTCACGTCCAAAATAAACTTGATGGGTGAATTCAATATCCTGCTGTGGCAGAGCACAGTCAAATTATAAAAGCCTTGAATCCAATACAGAGAAAACTGTGATTTTAAGTATAGTGTAAACAGTACAAAGCTCCTCAGTGGGGAATGCCTTTTCCACAGTCTGTACCAAAGCTGTCTGTCAGGACCAGGAGGGACCCATAACAGTGTGGCCATCAATACTGTAATCCGTGGCAGATGTTGTACCCGTACAGTACAGTTTTCCTTACAGTATAAGTTATACCAGGAATAGCATAGCATCCAAAATAGTCCAGAACAGAAAGGACAAAAATGTGGCTCATATTTGTCTTAGCCCTAGCTCCTGAAGAGCTGTGAATTGTTTGTTTGAAATGCAATGGAAAGGGTTGGCTCATTATTACTAACAATAACAATATCCCTCTTGAAAGATCCCCAAAAACTGTAAAGGTATGCACATACACCATCAGTGCCCTATTTAAGAAAATGACAAGTAATAGCAGACAACATGAAGTGTTGTACTAATGGATCAGAACTTTTTCCTCCCTAAGGTGGAGGAAATCATGAAACCTTTGCTAGCAACACAGAGCTACATAGCTTCTTCCAAAAGAGACAAACACAATAAATCATTTGGAGAATATAGCTAGAACCTAGTCAAGGACTTAAGTTTTCTGTATTATTATGCGATGAGCCAAAGCCTGTTGCACAATTTGACTACATAATATTGGCTTTTGTGACAGGGTTCCCTGTAATCACAGACAAAGGGCAGTAGGGTTCTGTTAAGCTAACTTGAAGATATGAGGTGTACCTCCAGTGGCTGTTTCTTCTACAGTACTAAAGCAAAAGAGGACCTAGAGATGATGATGCAGACAAGAGACAACAGGCAGGGTGGTCCAGAGCCCTCTGGGAAGAACTTCTGCCTCTAGTGATTCCTGGAAAGGCATCAAGCTGGCTACCAAGGCACTGACCCAGCATGACACTCAGTACTTGAAATTCACCCAGTACAGACAACTGAAGACAACCACTGACATCCGGACAATGCAAGCTAATTTGAGCAGTCCTTTAGAAAATGAAAGGCCCATCCTTTGACTGTGACACTTCATACTTGAGTAACGGAGACCTTCTTCTCTCCTCCGTTTAAAATAAAAGTATTTTCAGTATGGGATCAGGCTATTGAGTTTCAGGAAGTTATTGCCTCCAGATGTAAGCTATCATTTTGCCAGCTGAGACTAGTAACTACATGCATGCTCATGACTCCCTTGCTCTGGCAAGTAAAGCGTGTTTTTGCAAACCATTTAACAATGCTGAAAAGTACTTGAAAGAGGAATGTGGTTTAAGAGAACCAGTATTATTTGTACCAAAGTAGATTGTAAGAGTGCACACAGCCAGTTACCATGCTGCAGCTGAAAGATTCTTATATTGCACTAACCAGATTGTTTCTGATCACCTGGTCAAATCTTAAGACCTGATAAGGAAATTACTCCACATCATTACAAGCTTTGAAATTAAATCTTCCTGGTTTGTGATCACAAAGTAAGACTTTATGAGCAGGAAGTACAAAGAGTAAGAACTGCTGGGAATCCTCAGCAATCCCTTTTATTGGTAAATTTTATTCCCATCTAGGGAATTCTTTCAGAATTTGTGCTGGTCTTGTTTTCAACCAACAATAAACTGAACTTTAAATAACTTCAATAAAATACTTTAGAGCACTTTGACAAGTGGTAAAGTTTAGCCCTTAAGCTACAAGTAAAATGGACATGTCAAGCTACAATTAGTAGTAGAGGCAAAGAGTGACAGTAGCACACCAACCAGCTGAATCAAACTTGGCCAAATTTATATCAATATGATTTATGCTACCAATAGGCTCTTTGTTATAGATCAGTACAAAACCAGACTGAAATCCCCTGTCACACAAATCAGTATCTTCTGCCACAGAATTATCAGTAAGTACTGATAATGTCAAAGGATTTAATTGCTGAAAACAAACTTTCACCAAGAATAATGAAAACAAATATTTAAGCTGCTGAAAATAGTAAATGCTGTCATCTGCAGCAAGCAATTTCCCATCTTCTAAATGAATGGCTGTGCACTATATGACTATTAACTCATACCTTTTTGTCATTTACTGACAAAGATGCTTTTTACTGTCCTTTTTAATCCCATTGGTACCAAGGACATAAAACAGCTGTTAGAACAGGTTACTAATAACTATATGTGGATGCTGGATGCCATCTGGGCCATAAATCTTAAAATGAAGCTTTTATATCTTTATTTTATTCTGAAAACTCTAAGCATAGACCCAACACAAATATGTTATCAACCCAACTTTCTTCAGTGACTTTATTCAAGTTATTACAAAACAAGTGCATAGGTATTTGCAGAACAAGTGTTTAAACCAGAATTTGAAAAATTTTGCTTTTGATTGTGACACACAAAATAGTAAAATACAGAAGAGGACTCTGAATGCTGTCTCAAGCTGAAGATCAGCGTAGTACTGTCACTGATGCTGTTATTTCTGCCTATGTGAATACGAAGTCTGAGCCACCAATAGAACCCTAGCTGTGCTCTCTCCAACTACACTCGAGACATACTGGTTAAAAAGATAAAATAATGTTGCTGGTGACAGGTTTTACAGGTAGAAGACTTCACTATCTAAGGATATCAAGCCAGAACTTTCCTAAAGCACTAAAGTATTGGGGGGTGGGGGTGGGGGGATATCAGATAGAGCTTGATTTTTTAGTGGAAATCAGTATTGGCAAGACCAAGGCAAGAACTATCAACAATGATTTCTTTATTTTAATAAGACAGGAAGAACGTCCACTAAACAGTAGTTTCTATTTTTCATGTCTGGCAATGAAAAACAAAGAAAATGAAAGCACAGTGAGTCTATAACAATGAGCCTGTGCACATGGCAAACCACAGACTTGCTTTGCCATGGGAATGCTCACAACTGCTTGGAGTCTGCAATGCAAAGACGTCATGATGAGGAGAAGTGGAAAATTCCAAAAGAAAAGAAGGCTTGCCTTACAGGGCATTACACCCTAGAGATTACTTCTTATTGGAAACTGTGTTGGTTCTTTTTATTATTTTCATAAACCCAGGACCCCAGTGAATCATGTGAGATACACCCCTATGATCCTGCTGTTGCTACTCCTACCACCAGCTGATGACATTTGTGTGAGAGAGACAGGGAGTGCGTGAGAACTGCTCCTCCTGCACCAGCTGCCTGCGCTGTGCCCCTACCAACAGCAGCTCCCCACCCTCTCAGCATTTGAGGAAAAAAAGATTACTTTTCCTATCTGCCAAAATTAAATGAGGACTGAGGAGAGAACTCAAAGTTCACAGCGCTCTAGTATCACTGCAGCAGAGGTTACTAATAGCATGCTTAGAAGGCCTGAGCTGAACTGGGTAAACCCACTTGAAAAGAGTGAGAGAAGGGCTACAGCATGTGTTTTTTCTAACAATTTGAGAAATGTCTTTGCTAGAAGAGCCAACATCATAGACTTAATCTTACATCATGCTTTTTTCTGCTCTAGAAATGCAGGGCTTTAGCCCGGGGACCGCAAGTTCAGGTGGATCTCTATGCTCGTGTGCATCCTCGCTGACCACAGAAAGAGGCTTTGCAAGAAGGAAAGTGTTTGCTTGCAGGAGCAGTTTGCAAATCTAGACCCAGAGACCATATATCCTG